AGTTAGTATGGTAGTATATTTTTCTTGTGGTAGGTAGTTTTCTGAGATGATAATTCACCTCTTAACACAGCTTAGCTATCTTCCTCACATGTCTGTATACGAGGTTTGCATGCCACTAGCAACTTCCAACCTAATTTCATGTGTTTTAATGTGAAATGCACTGACGCATGATGACATCATCATGTGACAGTAGCTCTCCACCAATCGGAGAACTACACAACTATGCACTTGCGATAATGTCATTCCTTGATGAGGCTAGACTAAAAATATGCACTAGAAGTAGGGAGGTTGGGCAGGAATTTTTACAGAAGTATCTATCAGAAGTACATTTTCAGGTAAGGAAAATGTTAACTTTTTAGGCAATAACTTACCTATTCAGACAGTTTAGCTAGAATCCCATGCTGAATTGGTGGAGGGGGCCAATGCAACATTTTACCTAGATAAGCTCCCTTTAAAAAGCACCTCAAGGGAAGTCCATGGAGTGTGACAACCAATGGCAGGGACTCCATAGGGTCACACCCATGGAAGACCGCATCTCGTCTCAACCAGAGTATACTCTGACCAGAACGAAGGGGAGGGGGAGGCAAATGAGCCCTATGAGTTACAGGGAAGCATGGAATGAGAACATGACCATTCAGTCATTTGCATACAAGCAGTCGGTGAGCTAACATGTATAGTATGGTTGGGGCACATTTAGACTGTACCTTGTGTACTCATCTCAATTTATGGGACAGACTCTAGGAAGGCACTTTAGTCATGTAACATGGTTTCATATATTGTGTGTTTGCCTCGACTCTACAGACACTGACTGCAGGAGGAGGGCACTTTAGTTAAGTAGTATGATGTATGATTACATATATTGTGCGTTTGCCTCGACTCTACGGACACTGACTGCAGGAGGAGGGCACTTTAGTTAAGTAGTATGATGTATGATTACATATACTGTGTGCTTGCCACGACTCTACAGACACTGACTGCAGGAGGAGGGCACATTAGTTATGTATCATGGTTTCGTATAGTGTGTGCTCACTTCAACTCTAATGAACAGACTCTGGCTGCAGGAGGAGGGCACAAATTGCATAAGTTGTGGTTTAGAGGGGGGATGACCTGCACTACACTGTGTCACTACTGCCCCTTCTCATTGTATTGTGCTAAGCCCAGCCAGTGATGATCCTTGATGGTCCACTACCCCAGTGGCTAGGAACTGGTAAGTGAAAATAGTCTCCCATGTTCCACTTAAGAAGTGTGTGTGGGGGGAGAATTTGCATTGGGGAGACCCAGAGAAGTTCTTGGATCCCCAGCTGGAGAGGTCTGTTACTGGAAACAGTTCAGTTGGTGACTTCAAAACCCTATTAAGGCTAGAGGGATGCAAATAACATAGGCACATATAAGAGGAAGATAACTAAACTGTGTCAAGAGGTGAGTATCTATCAGAAATACATTTTCAGGTGAGAAAAATATTAAAATTTGTAAACCTTTTTATTGCAAGAAAAATAAATTTGGAACACAGTACTGTAAAGCTAGATATAAAAATGGCTTAAGTCTCCACAGTGAAATTGAAGGATCTAGAAGTAAAAGGGAGTCAGAATCCTTTTCAAGCAGGAAAAAAGAGAAACATGATGTAGAAATATCAAAGGCCCTGGTCATGTATGAATCACTTCTCCAGAGGTCTGCAGTGTTTGCTTAAATGAGAGGAATTTGGGGGATACATAGCTCTATCGTAAGGAAAACAAACCAAGGTGTCTGTCTAATCAAGACTACGTCCTATTAATGTCCCAAAGTATGAAAAAACAAGAACAGTCATAAAGATATGGAGCAGTGCAGACTAAATAGTGTGAGAGAAACTGGAGGACAGTAAGAGAGATCATTGTATTAGGTTTTTGAGCCATTCAAATTTTATGTAAAAGAAGGGTCCGCCTCAGATACGCGGAAAGCCTCGGCATTGAGCGCCAACCACCGGTCGAGGTATCGCCGAC